CCACCACTACACCACCACCACACCCACCACACCCACCACTACCACCCTCACCCACCACCACCCTACCCAGCCCAGCCCACCCACCACTACACCACCCTGCCCAGCCACACCCACCACTACCACACCACCCCACCACCCTACCCACCCACCACACACCCTACCCAGCCACACCCACCACTACCCAGCCTCTACCCAGCCAGCCACCCACCACCCTACCCAGCCACACCCACCACTACACCACCTCTACCCAGCCACACCCACCACCCTACCCAGCCACACCCACCACTACACCACCTCTACCCAGCCACACCCACCACCCTACCCAGCCACACCCACCACTACACCACCCTACCCAGCCACCTGCTTACACACAGCCATTTTCATCCTTAATTAGTGTATAAATGTATTTATCTACTTTAATCAAGAGGGAGAGGAGCGAGGGTGTGTTTCGTGTGTATGTGTGGTGTACGTATGTTTGTGTATGGTGTGTTAGTGTATGTGTATGGTGTACTACGTGTGTTTATGTATGTGTAAGGCTTGTTTGTGTATTGTGTACAAGGTGTGTTTATGTATGTGTAAGGCATGTTTGTGCATGGTGTATTTGTGTTTGTGTGTATAGTGTAAATTTTGTGTATGTGGGTCGATGCAACAGTGTGAAGGTGTGTTGTGTCGCGTCTACTGTTGGTGTCCACTGCAGTGACTCGGCTGGTCCATGACTTTTCATAAACTGCGCGTGCGCGCGCACACACACACACACACACACACACACACACACACACACACACACAACGTTAACCACATCCCTCACTTACAAGGTCTTGTATACGTTATACTATACGCCGCCACATAATTTTATGCATAAGATGCGTATTTAGAACATTTTAATTCTGTTTGTAATTTATATTCATGGAATTCTTAAAATATACATGAATTGTCGTTTTTTCTTCAAAATTTTAATTATTTTCAAAAATGGCGTTTTTCGTCAGCCTTACCCTACAGTACACTATAACTAGACTATCTCCACTAACACCTTCACTACGGGGACACTATGGGGTTAATTATTTGGCACACAAGAAAGTGTATTTGTAAGGAACACTGAGGAATAAGGCAATGATGCCACAGGACAAAGACTGCCCTGTTTGTTGTAGTTTGTTTGTACATGGTTCAGGTTTAAGCCGCATCATTGACAACGCTGCACCTGCAGTCCTTCAAGGTCATGATGCACTATCCTTGTTGTTGTTATTATTATTATTGTGTTTGCGATTATTTGAGTGCATTTCCCCACTCCCTAAAGCTCGTGTGACTATAGCAGTAATACTTTCTCCCTCGCCTCGTCTGTCTCTGTGTGCCCATCTTACTCTTCGTCCGTCCGTTCGTCTATCTGATCCTGTTAAATTTAATTCCCACTCACTAATAAAAAAAATCCACTTGGGTCGACGGATTTGATTTGAGATTTGTCGTGAAAATATACCCTGTGAGGCCGGTGCTGGGTGACTGCCACTCCTGACCTGGATGATGTACCATTTACAGTGTGTGTGTCAGGTTGTGCTAGGATACGTACCCGGAAATGTGTCAGGATGCGCTATAATGTGTCAGGATCTCACTGGTAAAGGAACAGTCTAGCTCCCGGGTTACTCTCACACAGGCCGCGATCACCCAGATACAACACACGCTCTTCTCACTCTCCTAGACAAACAACAAAGAACATCCCCCACCCTCTCCCTCCTCCCCCCACCCTCTCCCTCCTCCCCCACCCCTCCCTCCTCCCCCCACCTCCTCCCCTCCCTCCTCCCCCACCCTCTCCCTCCTCCCCCCACCCCTCTCCCCACCTCCCCTCCTCCCCCCCCTCTCCCTCCCTCCCCACCCCTCCTCCTCCCTCCCCCCTCCCCTTTCCCTCTGCCCCCCCAGAAAAAGAGAGGAAGAGGAGGTAGGTGTCATTAAGGGAGCAGACGGCCCTCAAGTGAGTTACAGCACACGGTAGGAGTGGCGTCTTGAGCCAGCACCTTGAGTTAGTGTCTCCTTGATGAAGGGTTGACAAGTGTGGCCTAATTGGACCCCTCCCGTGGGCTGCCCCGGAGGCCACCACCACTGTGTTCTCTATATTGACACACACACACACACACACACACACAAAATTGAAAAGAGAGAGATGGGAAGTGAATAAAGAGAAAGAATACAAAAAAAGAAAATTAGAAATGGAAAGAGGGAGAAAGAAAGAGAATGAGAGCACGAGAGAGAGAGAGACCCATGCAGATAGTCTCAATCTTCCAGAAGAATCAGGAAGACTGTGAGTGTTTCGAACACGCCTGGCCAGAGGTCCACCACTCTTGGTGTGGGGTCCACCACACACCTGGTCTGGGGTCCACCACACACCTTAGAATACGTCACCAAAGCTGATATAATGAAATGTTAAGGGAATTTTCCGTAGACTTGTAAGTAAAGACGGTAGTGACATTAAACACACACACACACGAGTTTCAGGGTGTGCTTTTGTACTTAACACTTGATTAATTTTGACCCAGACTTTTAACTGTAGAGAGGAGTGCTGATGTTTCCAACCTTTCATATTTCTGCCAACAGAGACAGACAGACGAACCAACGAACATGTAGCTTGAACACCTCCCTGGCCCGGGTCTAGTTGCCTGTGGTAATAATTAACCTATTTACTTCTATCAGGTTAACACGTCTCGCTTTTACTAATTTCTTCAACATTGTCAGAAGAGAAAACGTGTACTGTACAGCGACATTCTTCACCATGCTGCATGACGTCACTTAGCGAGGAGGCGTTTTGTCTCCGGTCTTGTTCATGTTCGTCTTCTTTTCATGATATTTATGTTACCAGAGCGTTTTACATGCTAATTTTTCTTCCCCAAGTACATGAATTCTCAGAGATCAACACAGAATAGCTAATATCCCTTAAAATATCAGAATACAAATACGATAGATTAAATACTAAAGAACAGCAATGACTTTTCCCACGTCCGACTGCCAGCCAATCAGCTGTCTTGCTACAAACTGACTCAAATAAATCACATTAGAACCAGTGAGTGAGTAAGTGGAGCGTCTGGGTGAGGTGCGTTATAGAGGCCTGTCCTTATATGCAGTGGATAGAATTGCACCACAGCTAAAAATAAGAGGAAAAAACAATTCATACAAACTAATATTTGAATCCACAAAAGTCAACAGGAACTCCATTTAGACGGGGGAAAACGCGGAAAAATATCAACAGTGGGTGCCTAAAACCGAAGCTTCACCATGACTACCCAACACCACACTACTCCACCATACAGTACGTACTACCTAACACCACACCTCACAATACTTCACCCTATACAGTAGAACCCCACACCACACTACACAATACAACACCACACTGTACAATACTACACCACATTGCACAGTACACCACACTACACATACTATATCACGTTACACAATACAGTACTACACAGCATTACACAATACTACATCGCACTACACAATACTACAGCAAACTACACAATACTACACCACACTACACAATACTACACCACACTACACAATACTACACCGCACTACACAATACTACACCACACTACACAATACTACACCACACTACACAATACTACACCACACTACACAATACTACACCACACTACACAATAATACACCGCACTACACAATACTACACCGCACTACACAATACTACACCACACTACACAATACTACACCACACTACACAATACTACACCACACTACACAATACTACACCCACTACACAATACTACACCACACACACAATACTACACCGCACTACACAACTACACCGCACTACACAATACACCACACTACACAATACTACACACACACTACACAATACTACACCACACTACACACACCGCACTACACAACTACATCACACTACACAATACTACTACACAATACACCGCACTACACCACACACACACTACACCACACTACACAATACTACACCACACTACACAATACTACACCACACTACACAATACTACACCACACTACACAATACTACACCACACTACACAATACTACACCGCACTACACAATACTACACCACACTACACAATACTACACCACACTACACAATACTACACCACACTACACAATACTACACCACACTACACAATACTACACCACACTACACAATACTACACCGCACTACACAATACTACATCACACTACACAATACTATATACACCACTACATAATACTATTTACACCACTACACAATACTACATAGTACTGTTTACACCACTACACAATACTTCATAATACTACACCACACTTCGCAACTTTGGAAGATTTGAAGGAAAGAATACATGAGGCTGATAGAAAAGGTTAGTAAGATAGGCTGCAAAATTAATGAAGGGAAACCGTACCGCTTTGATGATGCCCGCAGAATCACTAACGGAGCTCACGTTGAACTTCAATACAGTAGCTTGATAATACCGAGTTCTTACAGTACAGTATCTTGCTGTAACTTTGTTCCTGTTTTCATAAAAAAAAATTTAAAATTGGAAGATCATTTGTAATCGCCTGGTAGTAATAAAAAATAAATACAGTCTACAGAAAGAGTATTCACTTTTATTTTCGGAAATGAAACAATGTAAATAGAAATGTAGTCAACTGAAAAAGCCTATTCACTTTTATTTTTGGAAGTTTAATTTGCTGGCGAAATTAGAACAAGGGTCAGTTGTGCTGGTGCTGTACTTTACATATCTGGAGGATAATCCTCGCAGGGAAAGAAACCTTCAAATCAAGTAATATAGTTTATATTGTTTTAGTTTGCATGTAATGTACAGTACAGTATATAAATTTTTACTTTAAAATTTATTTTCTTGGTTATTTGTGACAGTAAGCAATTGGCTTCTTCCCTTGAGTTACATTTCACTCATAGTAAAGGACTTCTTATCTTAAAATATTCAGGGCTGGAAAAGTTTGTGTTTGTATTGCCATCTCACAATCTCTGTTTTTCTTTCCAGTTTGGAGGGCACTGTGACCCGCTGTACTGACTTGAAAGCTGCTCGACTTTGTGCTACGCCTTCACCGAGAAACTGTCACAGTGGGATTGGTGAAAATGTTCATTGGGTCTGCCCGATGAAACTGCATGGGTAGGCTGTCTAGCGATGCTGCACCTGCATCTGTGCCTGCTGGATGCAGGAGCTGTGTTGCTTGGTGAAACTGTGTGTTAGATATGTCAAGTGAAGCTATTCGATGATGGAGTATGGGTGAAGTGCTTTCTGAAGACTTTGACTAAGCTGCTCACTGTAGCTGTTGGTTCATAGTGGCCGATGCACAGCAGAACAGTCTCTTTTAACTACAGAGTCAAGATATGTGTTTAAATTACTCATTGGGGCTGCCAGTTGAAACTGTACAGTGTAGCTGCAGTGTTTGAGTTACCATATAACAGCAGTACGAGTTTGTTGAAAATGTCGGAGGAAATTGCGCGATGGTGTAGATAGGTGAAACTATTTGTTGACACCATAAAGTGGAGCATCTTTGTTAGAACTGTGAACTGATGCTGTCTAGTGACATTTGGCAGGATATGTGGTGGAAAATGTACTGGAGCCTGTTGGTGAAACTGGGTGGTGGTGTTTGATGATACTGCATGTAGCAACAAATATTTTCATTAAGCTTAGTAATGGTGATGTACAGTATAGTGAAAAACTGTTTCGTCAGTGAAAAAAGAAAGAACATTATGAGGCTATTTTTTTAACCCTATCCAGTGGGGCTCATTGTGAAAGTGCACAAAGTGGCTGTGGTGAAACAATGTATGCATCTTTCTGGATGAAGTGTACAACACGACAGTTTTTGAGAAACTAGCTGTTGGGAAGGAACAGTCTGGTAAAACTGCATACCTTTGGAACTGGCGTTTGAGACAGCATGATGGAGTCATTAAGCAAATTTGCTCGGGGTTCATGGCGAAATTGTGCTTAGAAAGTGTGAAACTCCGCACTGGAGGTGTGTGTTGGAAGTGTGCAGTGGTGGTGTGTGGGGGTGATGGGGTGTGCACGGGCGGTGGTGGCGGTGGTGCTGAGCATCATCTCCCTGGCGGTGCTGAGCCTCCACGTAGCACTCTGTGTGCACTACCCCTCACCACTCTTCGCTGTTACCCTCCTCCTCAACCCCTCCCTCTGGTGAGTAACTCTTCCAGCTCACTCATTTTCTCAGTGTTTATTTGTCACTTTGTCTCATTGTGTGTATCTCTTATGTGTATCTTGATTGATACGTTTATTGAGACACAAAAAACATTAATACATCTCAAAGGGATGAAGTGGCATAAGTCATCCCCACCCCAGTTCAGGAATGTCCCCCTCAGGACTCTCATAAATCCCTAATATTTCATATAATCAGTTATAGTACATAGTTATATTCTAGGTGCAAAATTTCTATATTTCTTTAATATTTCATCTATTTTCCTATTTTTAAACATCCACTCTAATGTGTATCTTCTGCTGTCAGATTGTACTGTCCTGGGACTCGAGTGCCTTATAAACTTGAGGAGTTCCCCATCTTCTTCAGTTATTCATTGCATTGTGTGTGTCAGATTAGGCTACAATTTACCTTGTACCACAGATGCCGGGGTCGAGGTGCTAGATCATACACACTACATCGCTAATTACTGCTCACTGTTGACCAGAACAACACTTGGCCTTGTCCGCATGTTTTATGTCATCTTGGGAGTCGGTCACCCTTTCACCTTTGTTTGACAGTATAACACATTTTAACACTACAGTATAACACAACTCATTATATAAGAACAATGGGTCATAAGAGTGAGCTAGTGAACCTAATTATTTAACTTAAATCCAGTCACAAAACATATCCACAAATAAAACAATATCAGCATTATTCATTGTCTTTACCTACATTGATTTGGTACAGTTATGACACAAAATTAACTTGAGGCAAAGAATATTTAGAGAAGGTGCCTTACCACAATTTTGTCTGGTGCTAAGTGTATCTAGGTAATTAAGGTAGCGTCTCGGTGTATTTATAATTATATTTGGAAGTTGATCTATACAAAAATTCCTGACATAATAACGGACAATATGGTTAACAAATTTGGGTTTCCACAGGATGTTTCTTGGAGCAGCTGGGATGGGATGTGCACTAGCCCTCACCTACAGGGAGCGACAGAGGAAGGTGCGTGCTGGCCTCTGCACCACCTGCCATGCCCGTTATGGCGCCACCATCGACTCAAAGTGGCGTTCTCCTGAGGTCCAGTGGCGGGAGAGCCTGCACAGTCAGCGGGGACCCTCCAGGGCCATATACTCTTATAATGGGAACTCTCACAAGTTTTATGCCTCATATGGAACTATTAATGAAAAACAAGCCATGGAAATGAAGCGTGGTCCTCTAACCACCGCAGCCAACCAAGTGTCAAAAGACACAAAGAGACGGAAAGAAATTACAACGCTTAACTGCGTACGCAAACCACCCACGAACTTTGAACAAACAAAAGAAAAATCAGGTGGCAGTAATAATATCAACAAAATAAAAGATCCAGATGCAAAAGATGCTGGCAACTTTAAGGAGGAACTGGACCTCAAGACTAATGGCGAAGATATAATATCCAACAGTAAGGAGCAGATACCCAAAATAATGGGAAATAATGGTCCCCACGGAACTACAGGTACTTTGCCTGGGAAGGATGGAGAGATTTCACGGGTCATCTCCCAGCTTCCTGACACTCATGGAGGGAAGCAACAGCAATGCAAAAATATAAACTCTTCCGTCCTGCCTTTAATTGAAGCCAAGACAACTCTGGAAGTGAATGGTAATTCAGTCAGCAGTAGTTGTGGGGCTGACACTGATTCAAGAACATCATCATCATCACTTGGGAAGCAGGTGTCATGTGACTGCCTCGCCAGGTATGCTACCATGGACTACAAGAGAAGACAGCATCTCTACAGAGCCACTGCCGACAGTCGCTCACCACGCCGTCAACAGTACTCCCACTCGGAGATTCGCACTGTCGGCAGATACCACAAGAAGTTGTTAATGCATTGTAGATTAAAAGATCCAAGAGATGTCCCAGTTGAACTCTTTGCTGCAAGAAATAATGTAGATGTGGACAACTCTGACAACTCTACTGATCAGAATGTCGCCTCCAAGAGAATTGTACTTGCTGGGGAAGATTCTGGGCCTCCAGTGCATCAAGGGTCCTCACACACTAAAGCGACTATTATTGATGGTGAATCTCACTTACCACATGCAGATGACAAAGTCACTGATGCTCAAGACAGATTCAGAAATTCTTCAGAGACAGAAATGACACAAGGAAAATATGAAGACAGTGAACCGATTTCTTCAGAAACCAAACTTTTCACCCTCAGGAAAGTGAAAAACAAAGATTCACATTATACTCCTACCACAAGACTCCTGCCTGTGAAACACTCTCCTCCGTCCCCTATACAAACGCCCACCACAACACAGTGGTCTACTGCCTCGCCTACATTTGTAAACTTTGAAAGCTTACCTCAGCATGATGATCCTCAAGATCTTAGCCTCGAATCCACCCAAGAACCCAGTCAAGACTGTGACCAGAGCCATGATGCTCAGTGTCGGGACCTGGATGTGGCCTCAGTGTCCTCAGAAAGTGGCCTTCTACCCTCTAGTAACAAGACATCGTTGGTGGGCCGTGACTTTCTTAAATCACCATTATGGCGCTCATTTCGGGGGGCAAAGAAAGAACACAAGCCCGCCGTTGATGATGACTCTGAGGAACACAACCAAGGCCATCATGATCATGACTCTGTTGAAACACAACTTGGTGAGTACTCTATCAAGATGAAAACACGATGCAATATTCTTTCTATTTTATATTCGGATCACAAAGATCAAGTTTGTTTACATGTCAGAAGTTGTGAAAATTCTCATTATTGATGGACAGATTTCTGTGTTGGAATATTTTGGGTCATATAAACATGCACATAAACTTTTTTATAGATTTTTTTTTTTTTTTTTTTTTATACAGGGATTGGCCCACCCGGGCACAGGTCACTGACCCACATTGGGGCCTGGGGGGCGAAAATGTAATAATAATAATAATAATAGTCATAATAATTCATAATAAATAAAATTTATGATAAAACAAACAAAAATAAAAAAATTATGATAATAATACAGTAACTGTAATAATAATAATAATATTAATAGTAAAACTATAAATACAAAAATGAAAAAACAAGATCAAAAGTGAGAAACGATATACCGTATGTGTGTTGTGTTGTCAATGGTAAGAGAAACAATTGAGGCCCTGCAATTGCGTATAAATGAAGCAGAAAGTCAGATCAGCAACCTGGGACTTGGTCACAATTTTCGTGATGCCATATGACAGCAGGGTCTACCATTAGACAACACATTATGCTTCCAATATCTTCCCAGGCGGTAGTACCTCCCTGTTTGGTAGCTGCCTACTACCTACTCCAGTGCAGGCAGTAGACTTTTTGTCTATATTTACTATACAGTATATTGCTATTGCCAGCTTCACAGATATTTGCCACTGTTATTGTCACTTCTCTGATTGATTCTTCTGACTGCTATCTTTCTCTTTACAGTCCAGCCATGAACAGTGCCAAAAAAGTGTGTGTGGTGCTTCTTACAATTTAGGCATGTGCATCCTCTGCCCCCCACGTTATGGATGGTTCTTAGATTAGTCTTTTGCATTGATGTAGCAAATTTCAAACGACTTAGATGGGTTCTATAAAATCCTGGTACAGTACTGTACGAGGCACACAAAACTGAAGTAGGACAAGCGCTGTAAATGAAAAAAAAAAACAGAAAAATGCAGTTTAAGTTTGTGAACCCTCAATTTACCATAACTTTAGAACCAGTGAAGATATTGAAGTGATTCAAGTGGCTGATTGTAGCATTATTAGGTCAGATTTGATTGATGCAAGTGAAAGGCATCATATGTATTGTTTTGGGGCATATGTGTACTGTATTGGTATTTGTCTTTCTTTAGTTCTGTGCTCCTCATGTATACCTGTCTCTCTCTTCTTTGATATCTTGATTATTACACTCTAGAGTAACATGATATTTATCTCCAATAACACAATACAGTAACCACATTTAATAGAAATTATCTTTTCTCTTGGAATATTTTAGACCTGAAAATATTTTAATAAGTGACATAGCTACTAAATGATGATGTACTAATCAGGTTAACATACCACTGATCTTTCCGCAGCTTTTTTGACTAGAGTGAATGACATTCTACTTGGTAATCTATATTAAAACTATATCCATGCAAGAAATGTACACATTCACAGGTAGAGGGAGACTCCGCTGCTTATTTAGCATCTTTGCTATGGTTACTGTAGCGAGGGTAGTTCTGCCCATTCTGCTAGTTTTGCTATGATGTAAACAAACTGTAGTGCCACATCTTACAGAATGTGCCATCCACTGTAACCATTATAAATGGAGGCAACTGTATAGTGTCTACTAGCAAAGACCAGCACAATGCCACTCAAACAATACTCCTTGAGTTTGAACAGCTGCAGTCTAGGAAGCAGTTGTTCAGACATGAATTCTAATTTGTTAAAAAGCATTTTGAAACGATGGAATTAGTGTTAAAGGTGAGAAAGGTGGTGTCTTAAGAATTGTGTACTTTGTTCTATTCTTCACTGGTCGGCACTTACGGTACTGAAGTGTATCCTCATCGCCTTCAATGTAAGAACAGTAAGTCCTCGTTTAACGTTGCCTCTGTTAACGTTGTTTTGTTATAACGTCGCTACTCTTTAGATACCAGTAATTTGGCTAACGTCCCGATGACTCGATATAACGTCGTTTTTGCGTTGTCACCGACTATTTTTTACAGCGCATCACACTCTCTAGTCTTGCCACGCTATGCTCTATCAGCTTGGCGCATTACCTCTCACTCGCGGAACGTCACACAGCATACCCAAGTGACGCCAGTCTTTGTTAGGCTTCCACAGCGTTCTTATGTGTTCAAGTGTTTTTGCTCGTAATCCTGTACTCTAACCATTCGAAATGGCTTCCAAGTGCCTATCAAGTGCTACTGATGCTAGTGTTGTAAAGAAGTAATGTAAGACCATTAACCCGTTTTGAAAAAGGGGAATGTGCGGTGGACATTGCTGGTGCGCTTGGACTAACCCCTACAACAGTGCATACTATCCGGGCCAGCACGGACAAGATTAAGGCTAGTGCTGGAAGTGGTACTCCTTTGAGTGCAACAAGGACAAGTCGTATTCGAAGTTCTGTGATTGAAAAGATGCTAGCTGTGTGGATGGAGGACCAGAATCAACACAATGCCCCTGTGAGCCTTATGGTTATTCAGCATAAAGCAAAATCCTTGTTTGATGACTTAAAGGCAGAAGAGGGTGAAGGATCAAAGGAAGAGAACTTTACGGCTAGCCTTAAATAATTTTAGTACGTATACTGTATGTTTCATTACATAAGTTTTTAAAGGTCTAATAATAATAAAAAAAAAGTTGAGCCAGTGAAAATGTAATTCCCCTCCCCTGTCCTCAACAGATGTATGCTAGCAGATACAGTATGTCAAATTACTTGTAGTATTACTGTGCAGTGCATATTAATATTTTTTTGTCTCCCACGAATTATTGAAGGCGTGAATATGAAATTCTTGAATGGTCCGGGATTGCTGTACTGTATATATAACCGAGTAAGGCATACAAATAAAAAAAAAATGATAAAAACTACTATACACATAAGCAAGTACGGTACTATATGAATAGCGAATATTGTATACAGTACAGATAATGAGGACTCCCTGTATGTTTCTCTTTCAGATTTTGCCTTTTTTTTCTTGCATTTTTATAAAATTTATTTACTTTGGTCATTTTTGGTTGTGTATTACCGAAACTTTTCTTTTTCCGTACCATACTTACCATAATTTACAGACACAAACTACCAGTATTCTGCAGATGTATGGGCATTCATTTATATATAGGCATGAATATGTACTGGTTTATGGGCAAGTTTAAGACTGTGTGTATGGCAGGAACCAGGTAATCACCCTTCCTATCTTATCCTCAGAGAGCAGCAAGAGCCAGCAGCGTCCTGGACAGCACCGCCTTAAGTCACTCTTCTCCAGCAGCAGGAGGGTTCTTGCCAAACCCAAACGGACACGTTCTTCTGGAGGTTCAGAACGGAGGGCACCATGGAGACCATCCCCATCAGTTTCCACCTCCGTGAGGGAAACCACAGACTCAACGACAACACCCAGAGAAAAGCTGACCTTCACTGTGAGAAAAACCACCAAGAATGTAGTATCTTCCATACCACGAAAGAATATGACCAAACCTGTGTCACCACTGTCTTCATCACCAGCCAGGGTTGTGAAGTCATTAGTGATGAGAAATATTCACAGAACTACTGGAAAGTCACGTGATGCTTGCAGCCATTACCAGATACCTGATACTGCAATTTCTTCTGATAATGAATATCCTAGTGACACTGGAGATCCCAGGGTGCCTCAGGAAGTATCCACACCGCCTCTCTCCACCTCCCCAGCCTCCACATCCAGCTCACCTTGCCCATCAGTGAGGCCCAAGGAACGCAAGAAACAAAAGACACGCCTCAAGAATAAACATCGTGCTGGGAGTACAGATTCTGTCTTGTTACTGAGTGATGATACGACAGAGTAATGGTCACAAGGCTGTGTGAAGTGTCAGTGCAGTGAATGATAACCAGTGTATTGCAGAAATGTTGAGAGTAAACCAGCATGATATTAATTCTTGGCTGGAACTTTATTTTGGTGCCTGAAAGACTAATTAGGAGGAGACTTATTAAAGTGTTAAACTGCCTTTAAATGTGGAAATGATTAAGGTACTGTATTGATGTTCATTGTGTGAAGTGAAATATTAGGAAAAGGTCCATTGTTATTTTCCCCGTGCTGTTCTCAAGTGCAGAAGGTTTGTGATGTTACTGCACCATGTTGGCTTTTATCTTGCATATGACAAACCCGTGCTGTCATAAACCTTACGTATTACCTTGAGAGGAATATATGAAGTAGTTTTAGCCTCCATTAGATGTAAAATTATGGTTGAGAAATCTGTTTATTACTGGTGGGTCACAGAGCTATATTTACATTCCAGGGGCATCTCATTGTATATCTAACTTCCACTGTCTTTTAACCATACACTCTAATTTCCCACTTCATGGAGAGAAACACTTGAAACTGACTATGCCTTACACCCAGGGTATCATATCACACCTAGGTGCATCCATACCTAGGGCTACACACCTAGAACATTTTACTTGGGGCATTGCACCTTGAGTATCACAAATGGTAAATTTTACCTAGGCCTTGTTCATCATGCCTGGGGCTTTATGCCTAAGGCATTTTGTGTGAAGCATCACACCTGAGCTCATCAAACATATATACAGTAAGTAGCCGAGGCATGTATAGGAATACGCAGACGTACAGCAGCCCTGAGTGCATGACTCGAGGTCAGCAAAGGTTCTTCTGGCACGTAATTGTTGTGAAAAAGGGGTTTGGCAGTGATTGCATTAACATGAGAGTATGTGATGTATGCCTCTACATTATTGGATTTATTAGAAATTAAATTATGTCGCTGGTATTGTACAAACTGTTACACCAAAGCCAATAAAACTATCTCATATGATAAAGAAAAAATAATTCTCGAGTAAAAAATAGGGGAAACTTGAGCAATTTAAAAAAATGGATAAGGCTGAGGAAGTAATTAATAGGATAGAGCAGTGGTTTTCAAACCATGGGTCACGACCCAAAGGTGGGCTGTGAGCCAATTTTCATTGGGTTGCAATGACCCAGCATTGTCATGCTTTTTGCCTGTTTTTATTTTTTTTATTTTAACACTAGGTCTCCGGTACACAACGACTGTTTATTTACTAGTTCTACCTTGCTATTAAATTGCCTTCTTAGTTGGTCTTCTTCTCCAAGGTTAAGAGTGGTGGGTAGAGGTAATTGTTGTATCGCACGATTTATTTTTTATTGTTCCACATTAACTGATCTTCTTTATGCTTCTTTTATTGTATTTCTAGCAGTAATTTCATAATGATATGTACTATCCTGCCTATAAATTAATAGTATAAAAAATGTGTAATGAAAGCCTCTCTATCTTTGCTTGTGAAAATGGTAACTCAATGCATAAATTTTTGTTCTTAAGCTGAGACGGAGCTGTGATGTGCCGTCACGCACTCGCCTGAGTTGTTTAATGAAGGCACCAAGCCAATGAAACCACACATGTGTTTCCTGACTGCTCATCTTGGACTATCGTCTGTTGTGAGCTGTACCACAGTGATGACACATAGAAATACAGGTATGTCCAGTGCAAAGTACAGTAGTGATCTGATGCAAGGGGAAGGCAGGTGTGCATTAGGTTGAAAATGCTTGAGAAGGGAGTGGCGGTGGTACCAAAACACTAGGACCCGGGATCACTAGAATAAAAAAAAAAATTTTCATCCTGACAACTTGTTTTGTGAACGAGGCCATGAGGAGCGACTTGTGTATAATGCCTACCAAACCAATGGGTTTATACTCACAGAACCCTAAACTTGGAAATTGAGGCTACTCCAAAAGGTAACCAACAATTATAACCCCAAAAAGATCTAAGAAGCCAAGTGCTCCCACAAACTCGGTTACGATTTGGGTTTGCAGGATCAAACCAAGAGTTATAATATTATGCCAGTCAGTTCAAAACTTGTGCAAACTATCAAAAGTGAAGAGCTCCAAGCACTGCAAAACTCGCCCCAACTGTCCAAGGGAGTTTACTCCACAACAAGGTATTAGAGGGATAGAAACTGACCTTCAAACTTCTCTATGTAATGCAGCTTGCTGGTGTCATCCCTGACACTGTTAGAATCGTTCTTTTATTTGATGATTTTGGTGTTAGACCCCTTGAAAAAATGACTCGACAAGGTCTTACCTAATCTGGCCAAAAGGCTGAGGAAAGAGGTATGGTAACCTCCATTCCAGTCATAGCTTTACATGGAAAATAGGGACCTCCTAATTGTTGTAGACTGTGTCACAGCATTGAGAGAGATATACAGCAAGTATGAACCCCACAGACTTCATTATGTGAAATGGACGAAGTACCACAGTCTAGCCAGGAAATGAATCCCTATATGCACAAAATCACTAAACTCCTCTCGACATGAATTCCTTGAACTTGTATTAATAGGATCCTGTCAACTAAACCTGACATCACCTGTAACCAGGAACTCATAAAGCCTTAACCAAGATGGAAAGTAGTCAAGATGAGGATTCAGAATCAAATTGTGTGTGGAAAGCTCTAAATACTTTACAGAAATAATTTTAAAATATATATATATATATATATATATATATATATATATATATATATATATATATATATATATATATATATATATATATATATATATATATATATATATATATATATATATATATATATATATATATATATATATATATATATATATATATATATATATATATATATATATATATATATATATATATATATATATATATATATATATATATATATATATATATATATATATATATATTGACAAAATCACACGGGAAAAGGGAAACAACGGAGCACCTTAGCTTTCGTCTTTATTCAAGACATCTTCAGAGGCAACTGGATTACATGGACAGAGAGAGGCTTAAATATACAGGGTGACCTTAAAAACATGGTCAGGTCATAATGATGTCATCCACTAATCCCCACACCAACACACACGTAGAGGAGCTTAAGAGAAGGGGGGGTGACGTGACTAGTCAGGTGAGGTCAAAAATAAGGGACCCACTAAATAACTATCTTACATCTAGATCAAAGGTTTTCAAAGCATTTTTAACCTTGGGCCACTGACAAATAAATTTATGTAACATTATCAGTTTTGAACTGACCATCACTAAGGTTTATTGATTTTAATTCCTAAATCAAACTAGCTTCAACCAGAAGTCTTTCTGTGACACAAGATGATTTAAATACTTCTAAGCTTTTTTCCCAAGCAAAGGGATGATTATTATGCCTAACATGAACGAACAAGGCACTGCTTTCAGATGCTGTTCTGATATTATACTTATGTTGTTTGATTCTGAGCTGCAGTGTTTTTCCTGTCTGTCCTACATAATTACAATTACATTTGCTACATGGAATACAATAAACACTTCCATTTACATTCAAACTTGGGCTATTTCTTATTAACATATTGGTAATGGTTGAGTCATACTTGAAAACAACATTAATATTTAGAAGCTTGAGGGACTGAACTAACGGGACAAATTCATTACGATAGGGCAGTCAAAATATTCTTAAGTGTAGGAATTTGCCTGGTTTGAGAGGAATGAAAGGATTTTTTAGCCCTTTTAAAACAACGATCAACAAACACAGAAGGGTACTCGAGTTTCTGTGCAATGGAACGAATGTGTTTCAATTCATCGTCAATAAATTCAGTCACAAATACGCAGACATCTTAAGAACATAGCAGAAAAAACTGACATTTTGGTAGACTCCAGGTGATTCGATAAAAAGTGAATGAAACTGTCTACCTGTATGGGCTTTCTGTATACCTTAAATTTGTAGTTTTGGCCATTTCTCATGATAAGCAGGAAAAACACTGCAGCTCAGAATCAAACAACATAAGTATAATATCAGAACAGCATCTGAAAGCAGTGCCTTGTTCGTTCATGTTAGGAATAATAATCATCCCATTGCTTGGGAAAAAAGCTTAGAAGTATTTAAATCGTCTTGTGTCACAGAAAGACTTCTGGTTGAAGCTAGTTTTATTAAGGAATTAAAATCAATAAACCTTAGTGATGGTCAGTTCAAAACTGATAATATGTTACATAAATTTATTTGTCAGTGGCCCAAGGTTAAAAATGCTTTGAAAACCTTTGATCTAGATGTAAGATAGTTATTTAGTGGGTCCCTTATTTTTGACCTGACCTGACTAGTCACGTCACCCCCCTTCTCTTAAGCTCCTCTACGTGTGTGTTGGTGTGGGGATTAGTGGATGACATCATTATGACCTGACCTCATGTTTTTAAGGTCACCCTGTGTATTTAAGCTTGTCTCTGTCCATGTAATCCAGTTACATCTGAAGATGTCTTGAATAAAGACGAAAGCTAAGGTGCTCCGTTGTTTCCCTTTTCCCGTGTGATTTTATCAAGATTTATCTTATCCACGTTTTCATTGTGGATCTACATGAAATATATATATATATACTGTATATATTAATAAACATTGCAGACATCCTATTAAGCTGCATAAATATCAAATTGAAATTGAAACCAGCAGAACATTTGTTATGTATCATGGAGAGTAATATGAACATAAGGGTGTTTTTCTGGGAAGAGGCTTAGAGCTAGTCTTACTTGTGGTTGTGCATGGCAATGAAGGTAGTCGTCTAGATTTCGAGTAAACTCAACATTTCATGATTTTGACAACTTGGTTGTTCTCTCATCGAAACAACTCAACTTGAAGATGTCAGTTATTTGGCCTCTGGAGAGTTCTTTCATATTTCCTTAAAAAATATGGATCGGCACACAATAACTCCTAAATCAGGTCTGATTACTACCGAGTCGTGAATGACAGTGAACACTATAGCACCTTTCTGCAAAATTATATAAAAACATAGTAAACCTTTTCCTACCTTCACATTATGCGGAGAATTGTGTAGCCCCAACCAAAACTTGCTCAAGACAATATGAGCCCAGGCACTGACCATATAGGCCTTTTGTCCACAAAGGTTGCAAGTGAAGATTGGTACCATGGAACTGCCTTATGATAGGGTCAGCCAAACACCACCACCAACACAGAGGATCATATCTACAAGCTTGCTAAGTTATCATACAGAATGAAGGAAATTCAGTACATCTTCACACAGAGGGTGGTAGACCTATGGAACAGTCTACCAGCTCAAGCAATGGAATCAAGACCAGTACTAGGCTTCAAAATAACCTTTGGCTTCCTTCTCATGGCATGGTCACCTCTCTGGTATTTAGTTCTCCATTAGGTGAATAATGTATGGTAACATTGTGTGACGTCAGCTCCCAGCATTTAGAGATGCCGTGGGGTTCTCGGATCCTTTTGGGAGGGCAGAGATGACCCGGGGTAAATTGGTTAGCCGCAGATACCAAGTTAAGGGTTCTTTGGGTTCATATCCATAGGACCTGATGGGTATTATGTTCTAATACAGTACAGTAGTTCAAAACTGGCATTGGGTTATAAATTACTGTACATATAGAATTTGAGGTGCCGGGTGTGTTTAGTAAAACTGTAACTACAAGTATACAGTATTCTGTAGTTGTAATACACATTCTCACGGATAAGCGGGTCATGTAGTTCTTCCTTCCGGACTTATTTTCTGGACTTGCATCAATAACTTTTTGTTGGCTCTTCAGAACTGTGACTGCAAATTGAACAAAATGTAACCAGACTTCTATGCGTTGGGATTAATGAAGGATGTGTACAGTAGTAGTTGAGAAACAAGGACCTTCTAATTTCTGGCTTTGAAACTTTATACACATCCATGACCATTAGATATCTGACTCAGGTGATGTAAAGCTTGAATCCTTATTACTAATTATGAGTCATAAACCACCTGGTCAGACTGTCACCTCAATAATATATCCTGGCTTTTAGCTTGGCTTTTCATCACTGTTTTTACAGTATTGTATACAGTATTTAATCACCTAATCCTTTTACTAGCATTGCTTGAATTTATTTTCTAGGTTACTCCCATCAGTTAGATGTACAGTACTTATAAGCAAAATACTTTAGTCTTGGTGAACAAATCAACACGAATAAATGGGTTGGTTTGGTTACTAGCCAAGGTGTAATTTTTTGTACAGTATTATTATTATTATTATTATTATTTTTTATTTTTTTTTTAAGTAGGATTCGCACCAAGTTTAGTTTTGCTCTAGATGAGATATTGTGATTTGATAACTTTCCATTCGAAGCTTTTCAACACTTGCAAAATTAATACATTTGTCGATTCAGTACTATTCTATTCTATTTTAGATGCTTTTTACAGTACAGCCAATATCTTACCAGCCATTTTTTATCTGGTGTCTGTCCTGTAATTGTAATTATTTAAATAAACTGTATTATCTATTAATTGTGACAATATTCATTTCAATCAGTTTTGTAGTGAAAAACCTTTTTGTGGAACTTTTTAAGCTTCATATTACTAATAATGATTTTGTTTGAATTTGTGGATACTTTTGATGAACAAATTATTTATTTTTCGTTAGCTACGTAGTTTCTTCAGTAGGTGTGTGAGGGTTAACTATAAACCTCCCCTCCCAAGGGATTTTTTAGTAGATATACAATACTGTACATCATTTATGTATGTGAATTTGAGCATATACTTTTTCTACAACTTTTATGTATACACTGTACATTGTATTATGAAATTTGGGGGTTTCTGCAAAACCTTAAAAGGTGAATTAATGAAAAACTTTGCCAACATTATTAATTAAGGATATGATTGGATGTGTTTTAGGTTTGTTTATCAGAAGTGTTTCCTGGGGTCTTGTGGCTTGGTAGGACAAAGATTACAACCCACAACCAGCTTTACTTTTGAACTGTGAAATTCTTGGCCCTTTTACAACCTACAGTACTTGCAATATGCTTTGCTTCAACCTGAATTAGCTGGTCAACTGTTAACATAAACCCACTGACTCCAGTAATACAAGGAGACCATTACACTTGAACTATGCTGCAATTGACAAAGTCAAAAGATGGGTTGCAACAAATAATGAGCAGGTCAGAAGAATGTATGCCAGGTCCAGGAACCAAGCAAAGTTAGAGTGTAGAAGGGCTAAAAATAGAGTTCCAGAGCCGATTGTATTCGAGGTCAAGTCAAACCCAAAGGTATTCTACTGTATTGTATTGCAAAATCAAAATTAAAGATACTTGTGGGCATTCATAAGAGTGTTCACAGGAGAGTATGTGAATAATCTCCCTGCATTTGAGGAAAGACGGTTTGACACTGCGCTGATGCACATTATGTTCTCAGCAGAGTGTACAGTATTAGAAACAAATCGTTAGAGCTAAAAGTTCATAAGAGCCCTGACCCTGAGAGCATGCATCTTAGAGTGTTGTGCAATGAGCTTGCTGAACCCCTTAAAATCTTGTTCTGCAGATGCATGGATGAGCAAAGGGTCCCAAGCGACTGGAAAATGACATACGCAAGTCCTATATTCAAGTATGAATAATAATGGGCCAGTGAGCTTGACCAGCATACTGTGTAAAGTACTAGAGGCTATTATAAGAGATTTCATGGCACGTCTACTATGAAACAACCTTGTAAA